ATATTATATATATATATATTTACTTTTTCTTTTTATTTTTTTCCCCCTTTCCCCCCCCCCCCTTTTTTTCCCCCTTTTTTTGTCCTTTTTTTCTTCTTCTTTCTTTTAGTACATGGTTTACGGAATTCATCCTCACCCTATTCCCGCTCGCTACAACCGCCGCTCTCCGACCGGTACCAGTCGGTACCGCCCCGCATATGCCAGGATCTCGCCTCGTGCTGGGCAGCGAGCTGGTGCGGAAATAGCAAGGTGTACTAAGGAAGGAAAAGCAGCATCCCATAATATAATATAATATAATATAGATAATGTAAAGGAGAGGAGAAGAGATGGGATGGGAAGAGATGGGCAGAGATGGGTAGAGATGGGCAGACGAGTACGGTAGGTACCGGTATGTGTGTGTATTGCATTCCCGCCAAGGTGAGCTAGAGGAAAGAGACTCCCCTCCTCGCTTACGCTTGTGGTAGAGGGAAACGAGGCTGTGGATGGATGGGATTGGGATTGTAACTGTGATACGGTAAGTGATAATAAGTAAAGGGGCAGATGAAGAAGAGTTTGGGTTTTGTTGAGAGGGGGGCGGTGCAGGAGATAGTTACGCTACTTAGGGATTAAAGGGTATGGAGTCTAGTTGTAGGTGTGAAGAGGGCTTTCGGTGTCTGGTACCGTATCTGGGATTGAGTAGGGAGGGGAATGGATGGTGGGGTTTTTTTTCTTTTTCTTTTTTGGAGTTGGTGTTTGTTGAACGAAGCGTTTAGTTTCTGCAAATACTCATGGAGAAGAAAAAAAGAAAGAGAGAGAGAATTGGGTGGAGGGGGGGGGGGTAGGGATACATACATAAACATATACAAAAGTGATCAACAGACATCATCATTCACTTCCATACCGATAAGCTAAGCTAACCTCCGTGCTTTTTAAAAAAAAAAGATTAAATTTTATTTGAAAAGAAATAAATAAATAAAATAAACATTAAAATTCCTTTCATCCTCTTCAAAACACGATACTCGGTTAGCGATAGATTGAAAAGCCTTACCTCTCCCCGTACCTACCTACCTACTCTATCGAAAGATGAATGACTCGCATATACTCCGTATATTAGATTACTTGCTGTCCCATATAAGCGAGCGAGCAGTAACACCTACCGCAGCGCAGCACAGCGCAGGCTGGCAGAGAAGCTCCGTACGGTCTGTGAACACCAACAACGACACCACCACCAACCACCACCACCAACAGCAAACGTAGAGCCGAAGCGGCAGCCAAGCAACCAACCAACCGAAGGAAGGATCGCTCTCGAAGAAACGGTCCGGTTAAAAAGTAAACAAGCTACCGGTAGGTACGAAGGTAGTAAGTACCTAGGTAGTAAGTGAGTTACCGTACCGTAGTCCCCTCAACAAAAACAATCTCGCTCTCGCGGTCTTGGCTGTATTCCCCGTCTCGATATCCACAGCGCACAAACGGAGGGGAAAAGTAGGTGGAGGAGGGCACAGATTCGCATTCCGCAAGAGGAAAAAGTTGAAAAGGGGACCATGTAACCGGTACGAACTCGTGGGAGGAGGAGCCCTATAAGCTAGGTATAGAGAGGAGAACTTGCTTATTACTCGCTCGCTCACGTGCTAAAAATAAGATTAATAATAATAGTAATTCCTAGATTAGCGGGCTGTTTCTTACCCTCCGAAGCACCATATTCGGTTGGTGGGTTGGGTCCGCGGCGAAGGACAGACAGAAACCTAGGTACCGGTACCGGTACTGTATCGTAGGTACTACTAGGTGCCCCGTACCAAAAGACGTCCCATCACATCAGACCAGGACCCAGGTAAACAAAAACCAATCTCTGACCCGGCTGCCTTAGCTTACATAGCCGCGTGCTTGTCCGGATACAAATACTACTAACAAGAAGTACTGTAGTAGTGGTCGGTCGACGAGATGGGATGGGGGTGCCTGTCCGGAGATGGAAATGAAGCTTATCACAAAGTAAAATTAACAAGCGATAAGAAAACAAGCTTGCTTGCTGATGCTGAGACGGAAGGCGTATGAGCGTCCGTCGAGCGAGGATCCTTCTATACAGTAGTACTTCTTCTAGATGGAATGGGGGGGGTGGGGGAGGAGGGAGGGGCGGTTAGGCGAGGATTTTCGAAAACTGTCACTGTCACTGTCGCCGTCACAGTTAGATTGTTAGGTTTTATTATTATTAGCCCTCCCTCGGATTCTTCGCCTGCGGACCCTTCCGTCGGTTGGTTTGGTTGGTTCTCCCGGACTTTGATTTACCGTACTCGGTATCATTCGGCGCCCTTCGCCCCCTTCGCACCCGTGGCTGGCCGTGACAGGCGGGTTTCACGTGCAGCGGCAGCAGAAAAGCCTCGACGTAGCTACGTAGTAGTATCTGGCCGGACGAAACAAACACACGCGTGAGGGAGCGAAGAATGCAAGCATGACGCATGAATGATGAATGTTTGTTTATTTACGCGAATTTGACCGGGGCGCAAAGCGCAGCCCAGCTGGCTATTCCGAGTGGCCCTTGCAACCGAGAGAGATGGCTAGCTGGTTGGCTGGCTGGCTGGCTGTGCTTTTGCTTTTGCTTTTGCTTTTGCTTTTGCTTTTGCTCTTGCTTGGGGGCTGTTGATGTTGTTGGTACAGTGTACCGTAGGTAGGGGGACAAGAGGAGTTGCTGTTTGCTGTACGTACCTATACGGTACCGGTATGTACGTACTAGTACGTAGTATATGTATTCCGTATGGACGGATGATCGACGGGTAGTCCAAGTCCAGTCAGCAACGATACGGGTACGGGATCACTGGGCAGGCAGCTCCAAGCCTCCCAAGGCCCACGCACAATCATGCTGCATGCCCTGCGGCTTATCCACCCAGATCCACCCAGATCCACCCAGATCCACTCGTATCCACGACCCAAAATACTACGTACGTACAGAGTAGGTACTTCTACTTCTACTATACTACTGTATGTCCACATTTGCCCATTCCCATGTCCTTGCTTGGGATAGGACCCGTCCTACAACCAATCACCGCTCGTGGCCCCACACCCTTTCGCCCCACTCACATCCTTCCCTCATCCTTGGCCCCTGTAATATCCTCTGCCAAGGCCACGCTAGACATAAACGACACCGGCCGTGCTTCCCCCCCCCAATATTTCCCGTTCCCCCTTCCCCTTCCCTCCCGACACGTCCGCCGTCTCCTGACAAACAACAACTCTCTTCTCATACGCATTTTCCTTCACCCACTACCACCACTACCACCACCACCTCCTCCACCACCACCACCGCTGACTGCGATACCTCCTCCTCTTTGCTCTTCTTAATACTTACCTCCCCCCCCCATCCCCCCCTTCGATTCTACCACGCACCCATCACCCCTTTCTGCACCACCCGCCACTTCTGCCTTGTCATACCGCTCGTCCGGCTGTACTCACGTTCTCCTTTATTTCGCTCAGATCCTCGTCATAACACTCCTTTCGCGCCAGTCCCCGGTCGCAACAAAACAATCACCTTTCGCGCGCCACCACGGCCCCTTTTCTCTTCTCTGCGCTCCTTACGTCGCTTGCATTCACTCGAGCGACTCCGTGTTTGATATCCCTTCCTGTACAAAATTATTGCGCCCCTGTACGATTTTTTGGATTGTTTGGAAGGTTCAGGCGTCAAGTCTCGTACCGACGTCAGCGACCTTCGCGACACAACCCGGAGCTAGCGCATCTTCGCCAACGGTGATCAACCACCACCTCATCATCCTCGTGCACACAACCACGCATCATACCCGCATCTTCCACAACTATCTCGTCACCAGCCCTGGCCTGCGTCGTCGCCGCCTTCGGACTGAGAAGTCCCCCCACTGTATGCGCATGTTTAGATTCAGTTCTTGGATCTCCGAATCCAGGAGTTGCGACAAGGTGGTGAATGGACCAGAACTCAAGATGGAGCCTCCTGCTCAGGTGAATGAACTGCATCCTCAAACAATGATTGAGTCTGTAGTGGGGATTGTGTCTGGCGCTCCATCGAAGCGAGGCTTCAGCAGTCTCGACGAGAGTGAATTCGGATCCGTCGGTGGGCCTCCCGGGAAACGAATTAAACAGAGTCCTGGTAATGATAGCGAGGAACTCAACGGCGCTGCAGAGGAGCAAGTGATTTCAACACTACCCCCGGACCGTTTGACTGCAATCAAAGAATCCATCGACTCTCAGTTTAGTCTCGAGATTTTGATGAAGCACCAGGAACTGCGCCTGATCGACCAAGAGATTGGAAAATGCCGAATTGCTCTGGAGCAATTACGTCGCGTTCATTTGATTCCTTTCCCAACATCGTCGACAAATCCCCTGACTCTGTCAAATGTTAGTGACGGTGTTGGCCCTGCTGTTGGCTCAAAAGGTCGTGTTCCGAAATGGGCTCCTCCCTTCGGAGTCACCGACGGGCCATACTCAAAGCACTACACCAAGTGGCTCATTCCAGACCCAAGTTTCGATGGCCTACAAGCTGAAGCCTCAGAAAGACCACGTGCTGGAAAATCTGTCCCCGATAGCCGAATGCGTAACAGTCTCTCTGATGGCATACCAGCGAACAAGTCCCGTTCCCAGAGAGGATCCACGAGCCAGAACCTTTCAGCTCTCCCCAGCGGTTATCCTCCAGTGAAGGAAAAGCCAGGACCCTGTGTTGTCAAGCGTGGCGATGGCCAGTGGGTCAAGCTCATTTGCCGAGACTGCCAACGACTCGACTTTTCTAGTACTCAAGGCTTCATCAACCACTGCCGCATCTCTCATCGTAATGACTACAAGAGTCATGAAGAGGCTGCTCTTGACGCCGGACATCCGTGTGAAGTTGATAAGGATGGTAAATTCATTGGTGAGGAGAAGTCCCCGGCACTCACACCTGGTGTCCACCCAATGGTTAGAGATGCTCCGTTCACCAAGCAAGCATACTCGGCTCTTATGTCTCATATCCAATCCTCTTTGGCGTTGTATGATCAAGGAAAGATTTCTGGGGTGGATGCTATGACTGGAGCAAGTTCGATATTGCGACGGAGACAGATGCCAGCTACCCCCAGCAAAGATTTTGTTCCCTCATCGAGCACCCCGCATCTGTCAGAGTTGATGCGTAACAGTGGTTTCGCTGGCAACTTGGAACAGATAGTAGCTGACGCTAAAGCGCCAATCAACTGGGAGGAAGAGGAGGAGTCTGATGGAGCAGAAGAATCCACTCCCGATAAAGTCGTAAGCGATGGTCCTCGTAACATGCCAATGGGTGGTGATGGTGCGTCCCCGCCACTTCCAACTATGCGCATGCCCGCACGTGTTTGTCTTTCGCCAGCACCTCTTGGTCGACCGAGCAGCAGCAAGGGAACTGATGTAAGACTTCCCGGACTCAGCGGTATCTCGCAACGTCCGTCCCATGCGACTCCAGTGCTTGGCACGGCCCCTGTACATCACAACAACAGACCTTCCAGCCGCTTCGGCCAAATGGACGGCTCCTCGGATGAACGTCGTCAGGAAATCGACATCGATATGGATATGATGCATGGCTCGTCTAGGATCGACCTCAGCCCCAATACAGCTTCGAGCCACAATGCACCGAGTCTGGTCAGCGATGATGGCGAGTATGACGAAGGAGATGATGCCGAGAGCGCGCGTTCGCACAGTGAGGACGAGGATAGCGATGTAGCCGAAATCAAACTTGACGATGATAACGTCGAGAAAGTCATTCCGCGGACGGTACTGATGGGGCGCGCTGGTAATGGGCTAAGCAAGGATGAGAGGCATGTTACATTTGTGAAAGCAGAAAAGGGCAGGCTGCAGGCTTGAAGCTTCGACTGCGCAAGGATGGAATTGAGGGTCTAGCGACCGGTTATGAACGTTGATTTCCGTTCTGCGCTATTCATGAGTGAGGGAAAGGCAGGCGCTGAATATGTGCCAAGAAAGCAAGAATAACTCTTCTCTTCGGTTAGACTTTCTTCTGTATGATAGAATACCACGCAGGCACGCTGTTAGTAACAGTGAGCATTCTGCTGCGAAGGGCCGGCGCGGACAGGTCGGCTAGCATAGACTATGTATGGATGGCAATTTTGCTGCTCCTTTGTCATTCCACGATGAGAGGTGTGGTGTAGGGTTTGAAGTGATGCAAATGAACGACTCAGTTCGGGGTAGGCAGTGTGGGGGGTAGAAACGAGTAATTGATATATATAAGTATGTGATATGGTAGCGAGGGTATAACGATATAAGATGAATGTGTTATTGGGTGCTTCGACCTGGGAGGAAATTCCAACGCGATTTCTGAACCTTGCTTGCAACAAGATCGGGACTTAATTCTCCCACCCTTCCTCCCTCCGTAACAGTCTCGATCGTCCACTAGGACTGGATCTGTTTTCTTTTCTCGTGCATCTTGATGCAGACCCCGACTCCTATGCGTTTATGTGCGCACCGAAAGAAAAAGACTTCTGCAATTCCTCCACGAAAGCAGCAGTATCGCTCGTTTCGATCGATCGTCCACTGAGACACTGCTAACAAGCGTTTTTTTTTGGTGTGTTTTTCATGCGCTGCGGTATAGCTAGCTTGCGAGGAGCGGCCACGGTCGGTACGCTGCATATACAGAGAGAGAGAAAGAGACTTCTCTCGGCGCTCGCTCAGTCTCCATACCCACGCGCATCTAAGCCGCTACACAGTTCCCGCTCGCGTCCACTTGGACCTTGATTCGCAGATAGTATGCTCTTCTGCTCCTGAATCCTTGTATTGGGGTCTCTGCGATTCTCGCCTGAGATGATGGTTTTCGGACTCGGGCTGCTTGGTGCGGAAGTTGAGGGTGGTGAATTTGCGCCTTGCGCGCCGACGCTGATTCCTAGGGCTATTGTGAAAAAGCGCTAGAGGCGAGGGTGCGGATTGGGGAGGCGGCTTCTTTGAGGAGGGCTTTTGGGAGGATGGATTTCGGCTGGTGTGGAGTCGGGAGGCAGGGGGATTGTGCTTTCGAAGAGGTGGGAGGCGGTGGAGAACTGGGTGATAGCGTTAGAAGGACAGGGAATGATTACAGCGGTAGGATTTGCAATTACAATAAAAGCAAAGCTGGTAGAAAAAGATGCTTACAATGAGAAAAGCAGAACGAGTAATCGAAGAGGAAGAAAGAGGGGACAATATCTCCATCTAATAGCCAGGACGCTCAGCTCCAATTCCAGGATATGTATAGATGGAAATACCAGGCTGTCGATTCCTGCTGCGTTCAATATCGCTCTATCGAAGGAAAGGAGAAGGCTTGTCGCATTAGTCGAAAGAGATTATGATGTCTGCGAGGATATCCAGCAGGAAGGACGACGTGGTATTGATAAAGGAAGAGCGGAAGTGGTGCGCCGTACGACTGCAGAGAAGATAGGTTCGTGTGGGAGAAGCAGATGGATTCATGTTATATGCTACTCCATAGAAAGAGAGAGATGATCGAGGAGTGGTTCCGAGGAGTAAGCTGGTATGCTAGTTTCGACTTGGTAAGGACCGAGATGATGTGGGAAGGCTTATCGCTGTGAAATGAATATATAGCTGATCTGAAGGTACCTATATTCGCTTATCGATAGATGTTCTTCCCAGTAGCGTATACCCGAATCGCGATATCGGATGCATTGTTCTGAGAATGAATAATTCTAAATTTCGTCCGGTCTTTGTAGAGCTTCCGATAATGTCTTGGCATGACGAAAATGTACCTATTGCACCTGCGACAGCCTCGCGTCGCCCACTATCAAACACCACCGTCTTTCACTCTCCTTTATATCAAGACGCGAAAAGGTATGCTAAACTCCCACGATTAAGTTTGAATCATTGCGCTATACAGAATGCTCTTCGCGGGTAATCCTGCCAGAAGTCTGGAAGTGAAATACAAGGGGTTATACTATCCACAGCTTTGTTCATTCGCGCTTTTAATATCAACTCACCTTCAACGTGAAACTGCTGAAATTTTTCTCTGCAACTGCGCTAACAAAACAAATAGGCCCCATCTTCTCCGTCAATCTCAAAGGCATATTTTTCTCCGAAACATCTCCATTTGAAATTGGGCATTCAATATGGCGGATACACAGCCAAAGCAGGAGAATGTTGTAATGGCAGAGGAGGATGGCCATGATGAGGTACACTTCACTCTCGAATTCCCCTCCCTTATGATTTAATCGAAAATATACTGATCGATGCAACAGGAGGAGATCTCGCAGATGAAGAAGAGGGTTGCGGAGATGGAGGAGGAGGCAGCCAAGCTGCGCGAGATGCAGGCTTCGCTCGACGTCCAGAGTCACGATCTATCGGACGACAAGGAGGATATTGACTCGAGAAGCATATTCGTAGGGAACGTCGACTACTCCGCCACGCCCGAGGACATCCAGGCTCACTTCGAAAGCTGCGGCTCTATCAACCGTGTTACCATTCTGCTTGACAAGTTCACTGGCCATCCTAAGGGGTTCGTTCAACCTTCGATCTCGACTCCCCAATATATAACGTGGCATCTAATGAGATCACATATTTTCATTTCATCTGCCAATCATTTGCCAATGATTGATATTTCAATGGGGAAACGCTGCCTGGCAAGAGATGGGCGCTAATTAGGATATGCAGGTATGCGTACGTTGAATTCACTGAGCCAACACTGGTCGCGCAAGCACTCGTCCTCAATGACAGCATGTTCCATGGCCGTAACCTCAAGGTTAGATGTCACACCTCCCCAGCACTACCTATTTTCTCTACTAATCGTCAAATTTAGGTGGTCCCTAAGCGAACTAACCTTCCTGGCATGACCGCCCGCGGTCGAGGCAGAGGGCGAGGTGGTGGTCGTGGCTTCCCAGGCAGCCGAGGTGGTTACTCTCCAAGAGGAGGAGGTTATCGGGGCGGATACAGAGGCAACCGTGGCAGAGGCTTCACTCCATACGCTCCGTACTAGATTTCTTCTGAGAGACGTGTTGGATGATTCCGGGGTTCTGGCCAGCGTTAAGTGTTGGATGAAGATGGAACGATGATAGGGGTTGGGTTTTCTTCTCTTCTTCAGAATGGATGCGGGGTTTGACAGGCAATTAGGTATACTTGAAGTGAGGACTTCATATGGCGTCATTCCAATACTGAGGTGGCTTTTACCTGACGGGCTGGCTCTTTCTTGTAGAATTGATGCGACTGTGGTGTTCCTGCTGTACTCTTTTTGATGGTAACATGGCCCTGCTGTGATAGGGGCGCGACTGAAAATTTATCAGTGTGCAGCAGTCGCAGGATGCTCGAGCATGTGTGATTGGGGCTCTGATACTCGACTCTTGGAAGGACTTAGACCACAAATGTTGCTCTTGTTATCATCCATCTTTGCAACTTTGAATGATATTGATTTTTGGTAATTGGCCTGGTACTACCGGCCGGTACCAAAAAGTGGCCCATGATGTACTCCTCAAGCCATAAAGATACTCGGCCCCACTGTAAAAGGACAAAAATAGCTCCTTTCCAACGCACTTGCGGAGTCAATGCTTGCGGAGGTACATGACTAGGTACTGGAGTTCCCTATGACGTTCAAGGCTTGAACCTTGGAGTTGAAGGTAAATGTTTTGCTGTGATTGTTCACTTGCGACCTTAAAGGGGGATGGATAGTAAAAGATGAAACTACCTGTTCTACCTCTACCTATACTACATGTATAGGTAGGTACAACTACCGGCAACTACCTCGCAAGTTCATCTGGCAAAGGATAACAACGATCCACAGCTCCACATCTCCACAAACCTATCAAATCAGCATGTTCCAGAATCTGGCCTTTCCTCTTGGGTAGTCAACTAGTCAGTCAGTTACAGCATACACACCGTAGACAGTTTCAAGAAGAGGAAGGAGATGACTCCCTACGTATCTGTCTTCGTCGCACTTCGTAAAGAACTCCGTATTGACCACGTGAGCAGAGTGCCCAATGCATCGCCACACCTACCTCACCTTACTGACCTTGTTAACCAAAACGTCTCTTGCGTCGTCGTCGGCTCTGCAATTTTCCGTCTAAAGAAAAACAAGGTGTTCTTCTTGCGAAAGTCGTAACCAGGGATCTAATTTTAGAACACGCCCTTTACTGCAACTTTGGTCACTATTTTTGGTCTTTCGCCGCTGACCTACGAACCGAGCCGAAACCCAACCCGACTTCCTCAGGCATTACATTTTCCCCACTGCTATCCTAGCCTTAGCAACATCAGTACAAACTCTCTTTGAAACCCAAACACTCCGTCGATGCGAGACCACACCATACCTCTCTGAACCAGGACTCTGGGTCCCAATGAGCCAGCCGATCACAACTGCTTGACAAATACTGACCAAAACTGCGTCAGACACTGGGGTTAGGTTGGCCACGCTGCCTCTGTTAGCCCACACGGCCACATAGCTTAGCATAGCCCCCCCCCCCTCGGCCGAGACTTCGAGCTCAGATAGCAACGATCTCAAGGAACGACCACCAGTTGCGATCAACCTCGCGGATCTGTTGCTGAAGCTCACTCGCCTGTGCCAGCTACATTTCGCATATCCTCAACATGGCGAGCAACAGCAGGATGGATTCGAGCCTGCCGCAGTCGGTTCTCCCGCCCCCATGACTAGAAACACCACTGACAAGCATACAGGCAGCCCAACTTGCGATTAACCAGTACGAACTCTTCAGCCATCATTGAGAAGCCAGAAAACTAATCAGACAACAGTAATTGCGGCCGATGGTTTATACAAGCGCGATGTCTTTAGTATGTCATGTCATCATTCAATGTCTCAAAGGAATATACTGATTCCGCTGCTCAGGATTTCCAGATCCCTTCGCTGTGGCGACCCTCGGCGGCGAACAGACCAAGACGACCACAGTGATCAAGAGAACCCTGAACCCATACTGGAATGAGTGTTTCGACCTGTAAGCCAGAATCAATTTGGAATGCGGTGGTCAACACTAATGAATGAAATCACTTTGCAGTCGCGCCAATGAGGACAGCATACTGGCAGTTCAGATATTTGACCAGAAGAAGTTCAAAAAGAAGGATCAGGGATTTCTGGGTGTCATCAATGTTCGAGTTGGAGATGTAGTCGACTTCTCAGTCAAGGCAGATGGTGAGCAATATCTACTGGGGATATGGCCACTTACACTAACTTTAGCACAGAAATGCTTACTCGGGACCTGAAGAAGTCTACGGATAACTTGGTTGTGCACGGAAAGTTGATCATCGGCCTTTCTACTAATCTAGATGCTCCCCCTCGAACCGTTGGAGGCTCACTCAATGCAAGTCGCCCACCCCAATCGACTATGCAAGGATCGACACAAGGATCTGCCGCTCCTACTCCCCATGCCTCCAATGTCGTTTTGGCAAACGGCGCACTTGTAACAGGCCCTACACCCGGTCATGCACCCGCTGCCGGCAGCGCTGGTTCGACTGCAAATTCCCAGGGGAATGGTACTGGGCCTCCCAGAGAGACCGGTACATTCAACTCTTTCGAGGATGCACAAGGAAGGCTCCCAGCTGGTTGGGAACGTCGGGAAGATAACCTAGGCAGAACATACTACGTTGACCACAATACTCGGTCAACGAGTTGGATCCGACCTTCTGCTGAAGGTACTGTTGAAACGCAGCGTACTGAACGTGATGCAAATACCCAAGTTGAGCGCCAAAGGCATCAGAATCGTACGCTCCCCGAAGACCGGACAGGTGCCAATTCTCCGACTCAGCAACAACCTCCGGCAAGTGCAAGCCCAGCAGCAGCGGCAGCGGCAGCAGCAGCAGCAACAAATTCTGCAACTATGATGGCTACTGGTGCCACCACGGCCGGTACTGGAGAACTCCCACCACTATGGGAGCAAAGGCACACACCGGAGGGCCGAGCATATTTCGTGGACCACAATACGCGAACCACCACCTGGGTGGATCCAAGACGTCAACAGTACATTCGCATGTACGGCGGTCAAAATGCGAACAACACCATTCAGCAACAGCCAGTCTCACAGTTAGGACCCTTGCCAAGTGGTTGGGAAATGCGACTTACAAATACGGCGCGAGTGTACTTTGTTGATCATAATACGAAAACGACAACTTGGGACGATCCCCGACTCCCGTCTTCCCTCGATCAAAACGTTCCGCAATACAAGCGTGATTTCAGACGCAAACTCATCTACTTCCGCTCGCAACCTGCTCTCCGTATTCTTTCTGGCCAATGCCATGTCAAGATTCGAAGATCTCACATCTTTGAGGATTCGTACGCCGAGATCATGCGTCAATCTGCTACAGATTTGAAGAAGCGACTCATGATCAAGTTCGATGGAGAAGATGGTCTGGATTATGGCGGACTTTCCAGAGAATTCTTCTTCCTCTTATCCCACGAGATGTTTAATCCCTTCTATTGCCTTTTCGAGTACTCCGCCCACGATAATTACACGCTCCAAATCAACCCTCACTCCGGTATCAATCCAGAGCATCTCAACTACTTCAAATTTATCGGTCGTGTAGTCGGCCTTGCTATCTTCCACCGCCGTTTCCTCGATGCATTCTTTATTGGTGCACTGTACAAAATGATGCTCAACAAGGCGGTCTCACTTCCAGATATGGAGGGTGTGGACGCCGATTTCCATCGCAGTCTTCAGTGGATGCTGGATAACCCGATTGAGGGTGTTTTAGAGCAGACCTTCTCCACTGAAGATGAAAGATTTGGACAAACTCAAGTGGAGGATCTTAAACCTGATGGTCGAGACATCGAGGTCACAGACGAAAATAAAAAGGAGTATGTTGACCTCATGGTCAACTGGAGAATCAAGAAGCGTATCGACGAGCAATTCCAGGCTTTCATTACTGGGTTCCACGAGCTTATTCCAGCCGAGCTTGTCAACGTCTTCGACGAGCGAGAGTTGGAGCTGTTGATCGGTGGTATCGCAGAAATTGATGTGGAAGACTGGAAAAAACACACTGACTATAGAGGATACACCGAGTCGGACGAAGTGATCAAGTTCTTCTGGCAAACGATCAGAAGTTGGGACGGTGAACAGAAGTCGCGTCTTCTGCAGTTCGCTACTGGAACTTCTCGAATCCCCGTCAATGGCTTCAAGGATCTTCAGGGAAGTGACGGGCCTAGAAGATTCACTATCGAAAAGGCGGGAGAGTTCAACAATTTGCCGAAGTCGCACACATGGTAAGTTCCACTAATAGTCTCCTTGAAAGTACAAGAGCTAACAAATCCTAGTTTCAATCGGCTGGATCTACCACCCTACAAGTCCCTAGAAACACTGCAATCGAAATTGACGATGGCCGTTGAGGAGACCATGGGCTTTGGGCAGGAATGATCAAGTACGCGCCACATTCTCTCCTTGTTTGTTATATCTTGGTGTTTTCTCTCTCGGAAGGAGGTCAGAGAGACTTGAATACGCGTAGGCTTTGGGGCGGGCTCACCCGCTTGGGCCTACAATAGTCAAGCACCATCTGTATTTAGACCTTCAAACAGGACTTTGGGTGGGCTGCGTGCTCATGCCCCGTTCCTATACTGCGATACTCTGGTTCCTCTATGTGATGACGTTGATGTAGGTTCCAGCTATAGGAACCACTCGCCACATCCGCATGAAGCAGCACAATGAATTTAACTCTTGGTCCACACAGTTTCCCGAGGCCCGATGCTAACCAATAGGCTACATGTATTTGCCAACAGAGCCTCTACCTACTCCGCCCCTCAATAACCCTGCGGCCTATGCCTCTGCCTCGGGCGAAGGGGAGGCAGTCCTATCCCGTCCTGTCTCGTGTCTTGGTGTGGTGAAACTAAGCTAAGCTAAGCTAAGTAAGCTTTTAAGTTTTTTTTTTTTTTTTTTTTTTTTTTTTTTTTGAGGTTGAGAGTAGGAAGCGAACGAATGCCCTTGCTGCCATAACAAATAGATGTTGTGTGAGCCGGAGAAAAGTATGGTGGGTGCTCTTCGGATGGAGGGGGTTATGTTCGTAAGGTAGATATAGTCAGTGGTGATGGGGTCGAGCTAGTGGAGGAGGAAGGCTACAAGAGAGAAGAAAGAGATGAGACGCCTGAGTTCAGATTTGTGGACGATATATGGAGTGGATTTTGTGTTATAGAATTCGTATTATAAGGATTCATTTGTGTTCCTCTAAATGATCCGGGCCAGTGTCAAGAGACGGTCACCGGTGTACCTCGAATCCGACGACAGACGACCGAGTCCTCTCCGATTTAGCTGAATCATCTTCCGGTATAGCTGGAAAATTCCTCGCTTACCATGACCGTCGGCCTCTCAACAGCGGCTCGCTCTCTCTGCCATCTTCGCCATCACCACTGTCATTCTTTTCTGGCATCCCCTTGAATTTCCCACCGTCCACCTTCCCCACAGCCCAGCTGCCCTCGTCAGCAGCGCTATCGAAGAACTCCTGGTTCTCTTCGAAACTCCTCCCGCCACTCTCAGGTGTGTATCTCCAAGTCCACCAGCCAGCGAAAGTGTTCGTCGCCGCAAAGACAAGGAAGAGCCAGTATTTCAGGTTATTGAATCCGATAGGTGTCAAGAGCGTGACTGCGAAGTTTGCCAGACCCCAGGTGATAACGGAGATGGCGGATCCCTGAGCGCGAGCTGTGCTGGGGTAGATCTCTGTTGGGATAAGCCAGACGGTGGCGAGCCACCCGATGCCAAAGATACCTGTGGCGAGGAAGAGTGTTATGCTGCCGGGAATCTCGATAGCCAGGTCGGGAATCGAGTCATAGGCTGACGCGAGACCACCGAAGACAGTGAGCAGCAAGAAAGAAACAGCGATGCCAATAGACCCCCAGATCATGAGCTTCCGACGCCCATAAACGTCGATAGTCATCCATGCCAGCGTCATCATGAGGAAATAGGAGACGTAGTTTCCAAGAGTCAGGAACTCGGCTTTGGTGCTGTCGAACCCGAGGAGCTCGAAGATCTGAGGTCCGTACACGGAGACGGCTCCATAACCCGTAAGGGCTTGATTAACCTGTCCCATCACGGTAACCATACTTGGGTGGAATTGAGATCCTTTGGGAAGCAACATGTCTTTGTATCCGATCTTCTCGTCAGTCTCGTTGTCTTGGGCCTCCTGCAGCTCTTCCATCTTCTTCCTGGCATCGTCCTTGCCGTAGATCGTGGACAGAGCTCTCTTCGCGTCGTCCGTCCTCTCTTTGCTTACGAACCAACGTGGAGATTCCGGAAGTCGGCTGATGAACGACATGAGCAGGATGGGGAAGATTTGCATAGCGATGATAGGAATTCTCCACGCCCACTGGTTGTCTTTTCCTAGTCCGTAGGTGGTGGCCATGTTGATGCCATACGCCATCAGCAGCCCGAAGATGTTCATCTGGAACTCCTGCGCAAGGGCTCGTCCTCTCGCTCCATCTGAGGATAGTTCACTCGAGTACTGGATGATGGAGAGATTAGCGAACCTTCATTTTTGGGTGCCTCATGACTGTTCAGAAGGGAATAGGCTACTGCCCGGTTATCCTTACGACCGGGATCACAGCATCGATACCTCCAACTCCCAGACCCATAACGACTCGTCCAAGAAGCATGCAGGCAATAGCACCGCCATCCCAGGTGGAAGTTCCGTCCAGCGAGAAGCCGGATATGAACATGAGAAGATTTCCCAGAGCGGTGGTAGCAAGACATGTAAAGATCGAGGGCTTTCGGCCTTTCTTATCCCCCAGCCAGGAAGCGATCATGGCCCCAACCGCACAACCAAGATAGTATACGGACACTATGATACCGACCACTGGAGACTCCTCCTTGATTTGCATGGTCTTGAGGTATGAGCGATTCGTGTTGATCAGAGACATCATGCCTTGTCACGAGTTAGAGAGACGAAGAGGCACATATGTACATATATTTATATATATATATATATGTATACAAATATAGAGGAGTAATGTAGTCCGTAGAAGAGGCTGGCTGACCTTGATCGTAGCCATACAGAGCAATTGCGGTACTGGAGAAGATCACAACTTCATTCTTCTTGGTGAAGATTGGGGGGAATAGAGAAGAGACGCCGCCCGTCTTCGAGGGTGGATTCGGCATATTGAGGATAGATATGTCTAGGTGACGGTGATAGCCAGATCTCTCTCGAATTCGGACTGGTAAGTAGGGAGACTCGAGTAGATATGAATATACCGAGTAAGGATCTATAAAACTAGAAATTAATAGATCTCTCTATCTCTCGAGAGGATCATGGCGAAAAAGAAAGCTTTCAGACCCAGATGTCGATCATATATTCTCTTAGACGTAGACGTACGTCATGGCTGAGCTCGATGAGGGGCATCCTGTCTAGCCCGATGGATTCAAGTCTGAATCGTGCAGCGGCATCTGGTCGTGTTGTTGCCAGTTGAGTTGAGGTGAGTTGAGTTGAGGTGAGTTGAGTTGAGTTGAGTTGAGTTGAGTTGAGTTGAGCGAGTAAGTCCTGCGTATCCTCACGACTCACGACTCACGACTCACGACCAACTTCATCAGCGTCATCCAAGATCAACATCAACCTCAACATCAACACCCAACCCTCAACCCCTAACATCAACAGCCGCACGACATGAAGCCTCGGCGATGCCTCCTCCCCCGGTGGTCAGTACATTCGTGGCATATTCTATTCTCTTCCTGCAATTGTGATGGAAGCCTACTCTGACCTCGGCATCCCCCTCTAGACGCCGTCACCGCATCGGTTCGTGATCAAGCAAGAGCGTCGTCCTCCGTCTCGCAGCACCCCACTCCAGGAACACACCTCGCGTCCGAGCACCCAGCAATTCAACCCAACACCGCGCTTTTCTTTCTCCTCAACTCCTCGTCCGACAGCATCGCAGACGCTCCCCCGGATCACACCATCTGCGGCGCGGTATTTCACGCCTGCAAACAAACCCTCCAAGCAGCATGACGCGATAGAACTATCATCCGACGACGATGGATTGCGAGATGTCCAGGAATCAATTGAGACGGAGGAGCAGGATGTAGATCTGGAAGGCTACGACTCTGCCGATTTGGACGAGGACTGTAAGCTAGACGAACCCAGTCCGAAGCGCAGGCGTCTATCTACATCTCCGGCCCATGGATTGGAGGAATCGGAAGAGCAACCGCAAGAATTATCACAAGTCGAGAACCATGAGTCTTCCCTCTCCTCGTCCCTGCCAATGCTCTCCTCCCCTCCAGCTCCTCGGCGGCCGATATCTACCACCGCACCACGCTTCCTTCTATCCACGCCTGCACCACAGTCAACGCCCCGGGACGCAACTCTAGCTCCCCAGACCGCAACCCCGTTCCTCAAACCACCCCGCTTCAGACCCCCGGATCCGTCCGAGACATCACAGATGCAGACTGACCCTCTGCCCGAGCAATTCTCGCCTCATAGACGGGGGCAGAAATATGTTCCTGGTGGACTGGCGGCCGAAGTCAGGGACTGGCTCATGAATCTCGAGGGAGCGCTTGAAAGTACCAAGGAAAAGAGGGATAAGAGTGATGAGTGGTTGGTCAAGATTTTGATTCATGAGGCTAGTGGGGGCTCAAGGGAGGGCTTCACGATGGTCAAGGGAAGGCAAGCTCATGAGACGGAACGAGGGGGAGAAATGGCCGACACGATCGGTATTATGAAGGTTATGCTTGCTGGCGAAGGGCAAGCGACGGGTCTGCAGAAAAGTAGTAATGCCGAGGTTGGGAAGACGGTTGGTATCAAAGGCCCTGTCTGGGAGGTGGTGATCGAGGGCGAGAAATGGGGAATAGGTGTTGACTGGAAGGTCTTGGCCTGAGGATCATGATACCCATGCTTCTTGGAGCTGCTCGGTGGTTGCAACGCAAACGCTGGCTAGGTTCATTCATTTATTGCGATCTAAATGCAAAACGGATATGATTGCAAGGCTAATAAGGTGTGGCTGGAGCGACTCTTCGCTTCTACCTAGTACCCATCTCAAAGTCGAACAACCTCTCCATGTTCCCACCGCATCATTTTACGCAGGTGCTTCTGATCGAAAGGGTATCTTACATTGGCTGCTCCCTCCATTGCGGCCAGTGACTCGCCGCCGGCCGCTCACCGACCTCAATCGCATACGCCTAGGTCTCAGCCTCTTCCAGTCTCATCTCATCTCATCTCACCATCCCAAAATCCCCCCCCCCCCCCCTTCACCACCACCAAGGCCGAGTCAGCCACTCAGTCAGTGACCCAGCCTCTCTCCCCACTCCTCAAATTCTTTCCCATCCCAAACGCGATCTCCAAATCTCTCCCCCCAAACAGACAAAATCCACAAACGAGAATGTCGTCCTCGGCGACGGCCTCCGACTTTCTCGCCGTCTCGAGGCTCGAAAAGCGCGTCTTCGAACACTCCCTGTTTGAGATCGTGGGCAAATGTTGTTAAGAGGGCGAGGGGGTTGGGGATGGGGATGGAGATGAGGGAGGAGGGGGTGGGAAGAGGAAGAGGCGGAGGTAGAAGGAGTGCAAGAGGGTGGAGGAGAGAAGGGCCCCTAGGGTATCGGGGCTAACGTGAAGTTCTGCGAGGATGTGTTCTTGGTCGCTGATGCGCATATGGCGCTGAGCTATGATTGGGGGAGGGGGGAGGGTTACGCTAGTGTGTTTGTTACGTCTTTTGTGTTTCTCTCTCTCTCTCTCTATCTTTCTCTCTTTTTCCCAACATCTCCATATCTGACTTTGTGTGACAGAAATTAAGCACCCTGACCGTAGCGCCCGAGTGCCACGGGCAAGGAAGGCATCGGAAGCATGCTGCTCCAGCGAGTCGACGAAGCCGGCTTGCAGTGCGTCCTTGCCGCTTCGAGAGAGGGCTTGGCGCTGTATGAGCGGTACCGGCTTAGTGGTGTTTGAGAGGACGCTGCTGAGGCTTTGGGGGTTAGGAGGGGGGAGAAGAGTTCATGTTGTCATGCATAGGCCTGCGCGGGAGAGGGGGGTGAGAGAGAGAGGGCTGGGATGGATGGATTGGCTATCTTGTAAGGTGTATATATATATTTTTACTCGTGTTTGTGGAGTGTAGATGGAGATATGGACTTTGGGGGGAGGCTACAATTCTTTACCTGTATGAGGACGTACCTCTGACGAACCTTCAGCTCGTTTATACTCTTGAGGTAGAGAGCCTCTAAGAGAGAGAGAGAGAGAGTCTGGAGAGCCGAAATCGAACCAATCGAGGTGGTTGTAAGATTGTAAGAGAGAACGACCGGGTCTTGGCTCGATCGCAGCCGCGCTGCTCGATATTACACTGCCTTCGAGAGACGGGTCTCTAGTCTACAATACGATCAAGTCCGCAAAGCTCTTAGCTATCGGATCCCCCCCTCGATCGGCCATGAGGCCTTAACCCTTTCATTTTTTCCCGCTCAAATTTTAACCGACGCGAGTCTCCTCTTCGAAATCGACAAGCGCTCTTCCGCACCTCTTCCATTGCTCGAAACTCAGCGTCGACATGTCTTCACGATAGATAGCGCTGCGGACCGCGATCGACGTACGATACCTATATACCTACGCGGCATAGTCAAGGCCTGCCTTTATCGACAGAGGTTCTGATAAGTCCTCGAGGATGATTATCTTTCTTCCCACCCGTCATCGGCCGAGACCAGTTGACGAAAGAAATCCCGGAATCGCAGCTGCTTACACCGAGTCGTGTTGAATCAGAGAGCGCTACCTACCGGTACTCAAGGAAAGTGTTGCTAGGTAAGGTAGGTAGGTAATGTGGATAGAGAGCAGGGTGCACGTGCCACCAAGGCAGTGCACGGACCTCGGGCCTTGGCACTGGTTTTTATACCGGTATTTACAACCTCGCCCCAATTCCTATTTGTGGATAATACAAGTCAAGTCAACCACAAGCATCAGAAGCTTCCTCCTGTGACCTAGTATTATCGCTAGATAAGTACTAGCCATAGAAAAGGTCAACGAACGAGGTTAATTTGAGTAAGAGATGGGGAGTTTTCCAAGTAACTGTTCTGCCAGAGTCTTGAAGAGGTTACATGAGATTTACTTCGGAGAAAGGACGAGGGAAGGTAGCATAGCAAGTTTTTGACCTGGAGGGCTCCTCTCGTTTGCTTGGCTGAACGGTCACCCTTTTTACGAACGTACAAAGCGCTTACGCTAGCTTTCGAGTATTTTCCCCTGTAATTGGTTTCACAACTCCATTTGACAGCAGTCCTTGACAGAAAGAGCGACGAAGAAGAAAGGGCTTGAAGGAGTACCTCTCACACGCCCATTGAAGCTGTTCCGAAGAAGAAGAAGGAGAAGAAGAAGAAGGAGAAGGGATAAGCAAAGAGGCTCTCGATTTGCAACGGCATGCTCATTCCCTTTTGAAAAGGGGCGAGAACGGCAGAGGGAAGTAGTCTTTGGGCTCGGCTTGGCGAGATCCTTTTGCTCGATTTTCTTCCCTCTTTTTTGTTGCGAAAGAGGTATACGGATCCCTTCCCTCGTGTCGATGGTGATTAATGGATATCTATGCTGGATATGGCTTGGAGTTGGAATTGCACGGAAGAGAGAGAGAATGAAGGTTTGGGTGCGTGGTGACGTGGCAAGTGATTCGTCATATTGTCTGATTCTTCAGAGGGCACCTGCGCAAAGGAGAGGAAAGCTTAGGCTGGAGTTGAATACTCTGTGATCGTGACAGAATCGGAACGGATGTGCTTAAGGGGGTTTTTTTTTTTTTTTTTTTTTTTTTTTTTCCCCCTCTTCTCGATATGATGTCCATGGGGGGAATTGTGATCCCCTTCCGAGACACCGGACCGTTTCTCGGCCTCGGGCGGAGAAACATGCTTTATTTGGAAAGATGGCTTTACTATGTAGCTATCCAATAATGCCCTTCCCGTTGGATTCGACTGACATTTCCACAGGAACGGTTGAAGACCTAACTGGGCTGCATATCTCGGATAGACGTATATGTTTCTGGCAGGCTCAGAAAACTTTGAAGATCCCCAGAAGGCTTTGCAAACCAAGTGTCAGGTAACCAGGAGACTGGTGTGCTCCAGTTGCTTGACCCAGTCCCAGCTCCCTCTCAGCCCTCTATCGTGATCCCTCCACATCTTCTCCACGACGCGGAAGGTCAGGTCGATGTTTCCCAAGGCGCTCCACGCCTTCAACCTCCGGAACTGAGCCGAGATGGTCTTGCGATGCTCCGTGGTGATGGCCGCCGAGCCAGCGACGAACAGCGGGAACAGCATGCAAGCGAGCACCCCGTCCCGAGGACCGATCTGCTCCATACCGGCCACGATGTTCCCCACCGCCTCCTGGATCACCGGATCGCTGCGGCATTCCGGGTTGATGATGGAGAAGAGCCAGATGCTGAGGGCCGTCTGGTAGAAGCCGGTCATGAGGTTGCGCGGCCTCGAGGCGGGGAGCTGCGGAGGGTGCCGCCAGGCTTCCAGGTCGTAGAAGAGGTTCTCGGCCTTGATGACGACGTGGCCGTCGGGTCGGCCGTGGGCGTCTCGCTGGCTGCTCTCTGCTTCGCTGCGGAGAGCCGAGATCCGAGTCACGAAATTGTGGAGGCCGTCTTGGACGCCGACGAGCGACGGTTCTTGATAGAGGAGGTCCGCGATTCGCTGGTGTTGGGTCGTCTTGGTCGGGTTGAACGGGACGGTCACGGTAGCGAGCGACTCGTGATAGAGGTAGAACTCCAGCAGGAAGGGATCGATGATCGCCGAAAGGTTGGGGGGCGGGGCCGGGCCCATGGTCGATATCTGCGAGGGTGTAGTGGCCAAAGTGATTATCTTCTCGGCATCGCTCAGGTGTTCATGCCAGGCATTGCCACCACTGCCTTCGCATATCTCATAGAGGCAGAGTAAGAGAGACGTGGCGAATATAACCTCCAGTGTGCGGTCTTCGCGTGACGGGTGGTATGTCAAAGCGTGCGAGCTTAAGTCTCGGACGCGGTTAGACTGGCTTTGGACAACTTTTGAGTGCAGACGCTGAGAATCCTGAATGACCTCCATGTCGGCTACGGACGGCTGCAACTTCAGAAGATGCGAGCCGGCAAGACTCAAGATGCTGTCCATGATGGTTTCGTCGCTGAGTGCCAGAGGTATTACGATTGAGTTGAACGGATTCGTTACTCCGGGGCAGGTCGTGAGAAGAGGTGATAATATACTCGTAAAGTGGGAGTAGAGTCGTCGCCGAACAGGAGTGTTTATGCCTCTGATCGGGAACGGGAGTTCTGGCGGCGGGAGAAACTCTTGGTAGTTTTCTAGGGGCTGTATCCCTTCATAGTACGATATTGGATCAAACGGGTCATACGTGACCTCTATATTCCCATCCAACTGCCTTGTGTAGACATGCAGGTCTTGCGCATCGGAGATGGGGAATTCTTCTGAAGACGATGAAGTGTAGTTGATGAACTCGTCATAATCGTATCCGGCGCGTGAATTTGTATCATATAGCATCAGCTGGGCCTCGAACGACGTTGATCCAGGTACCGGTTTTCTTTTCACTTTCCTTTTCGTACCGCCAGTCTCGAATGTCGTTGGGACATCATACCCTTCGCACCTGTACGTGGACTTCATGCAGTTTTGGCCTATCTGAGGATCAGATTTTCATTATTCTAGGACGCCTGGCGATGGGTGTTCTCGAACTTACAGAAAGGATGCTCTTCGTCGCACTTCTTCCTGCGTCGACGGCACGTCTTGCAACCAGTACGAGTGCGACGAATTTGCCTTTTGGTCATACGGCTGATCCCGGTATCGCGTTCTGACGATTGGATCTGGGTCTGAGCAGACATTATGGTGAGTTGTGGGTGATCCGGTGTGGTGTAGGATGTGACACGATGCTCCTTTGGATTGATTATATATCCAACGGATATATTGCGCTGAACGTCGTCCAAACAGAGCAGGAAGAGTCAGACGACTCTTCAAGATGAAGAAATCACCGAATTTCAGGAAATTTAAATCAAACAGATAGCCACCCAGCAAAGACGCAGAGAAGGTTGAGAGGAAGCCAGGGAAGAGAAAAGCAAAGATGAGTGCCTCACGACGTCGGCTCGGATGGACGACGAGGGGCTGGTGTTGGCATTGAGGGCGCTGGTCGAATAGAATGACTAGAGAAATGAAAAATCAGACAAAAGCAAGTACATCGATCACATTTCGGTGCATAATTGGGCATTTCGTGGGCTGTCTTATCAATATGACCAAATATGTGATCTTTGTGGCGTGTGAACTTTCGGTAAGGCGGTGGCCCCTTTGCCGGAATGCAAAGCCACCACCACTCCTATCCGCATTATGTTGATTTAGAGGTCCAGAATCTGATCGTGTGGTAAGTTCCGTACGAGATGAATGAAAGCCACACAGATTGCTATGAAGAATAAATAAGTACACTCGATAAAGATCTCAACCTCCATCTTCCTCCAAATTCACTTTGGAGCTAGTCCCTCTTTGGTCAATTTGCCGACCTGCTAGTGTGCCTTCCCAACCTCGAATTGAACCAAAATACACAACTGAAGGCACCAGTGCCTTCAGCTTCAACCAAATACTCACATAGCAACTCAATATACCATTTCACTATCTGCCGAATATATGATGTCGGATATATATATGGCTTTCTTTGTACCTTGCCACACCCATTTCATGATGCCAAGCGTTGATGGCCCACCGCAAAGAGCAGGTCGATTAATCGTCTCGGATATGTTCGCACCAGAAGCATGTCCAAGGATATATCCGGAGACACTTCCGCTCGTGCCTGATTCGAAAATTCTCGATCATGGGAGGAATTTCGGCAGCGCCTGCAGAGAAGGGCTTTGCTGGAAGTCAACTAACTAGTGTCGTTGGTTTGAGTCAAGCACCATGGGCCGTGGGGGACAAGCGGTGAGCTTCTCTACCGGTATTCCTGTTTTAAATTTCAAGTTCCACAATAGCACTGGACCATGGTCTTCCAGAGGAGCCAGCTATACGCTGCTGAAGACACCATTCACGGGCGCCATTGGAAAGTTTGCTCGCCTGGTCTGTCAACTTGTGATTTGAGATAGAGAATACTCGTCCGAATTGTCTTCAACTCCTTACCAAACGAGATTTATACCTTCCATTACTAGCTGAGCAACTATCCCGAGTGGATGGTGCTGGAATGGTACCACGACTTTACAATGTCGACGTTGTTGCCTTGTAAACATAGCTTGGCTTGTTTGCGATGTACCAGATCTTGGCGGCTATTGTTGCCAGAAATTTGATTGTTATATTTGCTCTTCGGATCCACCGTACGCAGCGTGTACACCGGGCAGACAGTGCATGACACCATCCCGGCTGCTTCTGATTAGATGATTAGATATATTCCCAACTCTGGATTGAGTCCGGGGGGTGCATTGGCTTCCTGTTTGATCGTATGCAATCTCCATTCATCTTTCTGGTGCTCAGACTTCATATAGCCATTCGTTGTCGAATATCTTGCAGATGTCTACTTCCTGTCATGTTATAGGTATCTGTAATCCAAGGGCGTCACGGGTATGGCGAGCGATATCTTTCTGCTACTGAGTTCTCGCTGAGGCTGGATACCAGAGAATTCCAAAGTCTGGAAGCACCGTCGGCTCAAGTCGTCGACAGTACTTACAGTCTGAACTGAAGCCTGTGTGAAGTGAAATCACAATGACTCCAGCCCACTGCTGCTTGTAGAAGGGAGGTGAACATGGCATATGTTGATTGGTTACCCGCAAAGCTCCACAGAATGATAGAGCTGAAATTTGCAGGACCACTTCGCGTGGTTTCCAGTCCACTTTGATATGGTTCTGCCCGCCCCCTTCATACAAGGGGTTTCGACAGCACCGAAGAGCGGACCGAGAGCGCTGAGAACCAGAGTGCTCTAAGCGCCAGCACACAAGATCTCCTTTGCGGCAACGGTATACATCTCACAGATCCACCCGTCAATAATATCAGCTTCTGCGCAGAATTCTGCATGTTTCAGAGCGGGCCGCGCCATTCGAGCTCATCATTCAATACGATATCGATCCGGACACCAACTGTGAAGTATATGAAGTACTCAATTCCGAGCTCCTCGACTCTGTCCTCCGCAACCCAGGCTATCTACGTACGGACACTATTGCTGACATGCATCTGCGGACTGTGGAGTATCAACCGTGGTATGGTGTCTCCCACGCGCCCCTGTGACACCCAACAGATCTGGACCGAAGTTTGATCCGAGAGGGTCAATCTTTCGGTATATACTCACTATCAAGGCAGTAACTAGCGAAGATGCATATATATATGACGTATTTCGACGCGGCCACATCTATGGATACAGAGCTGCTAGACCTTCCCCCTACCCGGTCTCTTCAGCTTATCGACTTTCCTTACTAATTTTATTATTAATAAGTTAGGTCGCTGTTCATCCAACCTCTTCCCGTAGCACAATTTACATTTAGAAAGAGACAAGAGTGCTTCAATAGCGGCTCAACACCAACCGGACCGAATCACGACGCAAGCCAATCCCGAACCTGCAAACAACTACCAGATCCAGATCCCTGTCATGTATCTCTCTCGTTTTGACGTCAGGCTTTCTTGCTTTCTTGCTTTCTTGCTAGGCCCACCGCCTGCTCCGAGATGTACTCACTCACTCTCCTCTCCCCTATCCCACCTGAAGCTAATCTCACCCATAAGTACATACATACATACATACATACATACATACATACATACATACATACATACATACAGACAGACATACAGACAAACAGACACACACACAAAAAGGGGAGGAAAAAAAGACAAAAACACCCTTCCCCTTCCCCTTCCCCCAATCCCATCCCATCCCATCCCATCCCATCTCATCTCATCCCATCCCATCTCACACCATACCTACTACCCACCTACCCATCACCAAATCATCAACTCCATCCATCACGCCACTAACCACAAGCCACTACAAGCCACCATAACTACACACAAGTACATATACATCGATCGCGCCGCCACCGCAAGGACTCGTCTTTCCTTCTTCCCACAATCGAGCATCGTTGAAGAGCTCTTGGCTACGGGAGGTGGGTGCGGGATGCGTTCGTTGTGTTGTCGAAGAGAAGAGAAGAGGAGGGGAGGGGAGGGGAGGGGAGAGAAGAGAGGAGAAGAGAAAAGAGAGGAGAAGAGAAGAGAAGAGGGGGCTGGGAACGGGAATGGGAGATTGATTGAAAGATAGATTGAGCTTTGGAGAGTTTACCTTGATGATGTGGTAGAGAGAGGAGGGGGGGGGGGGAGGGAGATTGGAGAAGGATTTTCCTGTTCTTACTTCTGCTTCTGCTCGGCTTCTGCTCCTGCTCGAGTCCTAAGACGTCGTTATATTGATCCATGAATGAATGAGAATGAGAATGACTTAGATAAATACTTACCTTACCTATCTGTAAGGTACCTATTCCCAGGAAAAAGAAAAGGGAAGAGCGAACAGAGACAGTATCTATCATGTATTTGTCTACCAAGATTATATATATATATCGGTATCTACATTATGCTAGGTAGTCGTGTCGTAGGTAGAAAAAAGAAACGCCCATTTATATGCATCTATTAACGTCCCTAATAGGCTAAATATCATAGAACAATGAAAGGCGAACATTACTAGGCGAGTGATCCTTTCCCGCAGTTGATTGAAAAAAGTATATCCATCATCCTCATCTCTCGATTCAATCAATAAATCAATCCCCATTGCTATACGTTATTTTTTTTTTTAGAAAAAAAAAATCTCCCGGTCTCCACATGTCGACGCCGAGAAAAAAAAACTAGATGATACTGATTCGAGTACAAGAGTTGTCGTCGAGAGCTCGGTCGTTTGTTGGGGCACTGGGTTTACCAGTTGAACGTCATCAACGCAGGATTGAGCGCAATCGGCAGCATGAAATGGCTGATGATGACCGTGCCTAGCGGGTAGATGGCCACGAAGCTGTCGATCCGCCAGTAGTACGGGACGAAAGGTGCGGTAGCGAGGATGGCCATGCCGGCGCTGCAAAGGCCACAGAAGATGAAGGTGAATTTGAAACGCTTGATGAGGCGAGGGATCTCTTCCATGAAATTGACCTTCTCGAGCTCCTTGGCCGTGGCACCCCAGCTCATGTCGAATCCAAAGAAGTGGCAGAGGAGGGCCTGGGAAACGTGGAGGGAGATGCCGCCGAGGAAGAGGGACATGAGGAAGACCCATTTGAAGTTCTCGAATACTGGATGGAGTGTCAGAAATCGATCGGAGGTGGTTGGGGAAAGGGGGAGGGTGCTTACGACTACTGAGCAAGTTCCTTTGGTCAAGTCTGTAGCGGAGAACGGCTAGGGAGATGTTGCCGAGCGCGCTGAAGACGATGATGAGAGAGAAGTAGACTTTGAAGGAGTCGAGGTAGTATTTGTCCAGGTAGCCCACATACCAGCCCACCAACAGATAGTTTGCTACGGTGAGTATCCAGGCGGCACCGATAGCATAGTACGTGCCGATATATGCGAGAATCGTGATCTTGGAAGTGATCCGAATATTCGAGGAGAGGAATTTGCGGAAGAGAGGAGTGAAAGGGCCCTTGAAAAGCCATTGCTTGAAGGGATGAAAGAGAAGCTCGTTGCATCCGTAGGCATACTTCTCCCAGCGATTCAATTCGTCGTAAACTGTCAGCGAGACACCTTCCTGGAAGCCGTCACCGGTGTACGAGCAGAGCCGGATGATGTAGCCGCTGACCTGCAAGCGCAGGGACATATCGAAGTCCTCCGAGACATGCGATTCGGACCAAAATTTCTCGTACCCATCTTCGTCCTCGTACACCACTTGCTGCAGCGCAGACCAGCGGAGAAATGCATTGTGGCCGACAAAGGGCGAAACATCGCCGTTGGCAACAGTGTAGCAAATAGCCGTGTAGATCAGATTTGTAAAAAAGGTAATACTAGATAGAACAGGTGTCAGTCACGAGCAGCGAGACATTTTGTTGGGATTAGGTAGCGCAAGTGAGATGTACGTACCCGTTCTCGAAGAAGGTGTTGGTTACATTCATTACCCCTGAAGAGTACTGCAGGATCCCGACCTCGGGTGACTGCTCCATCTCGCTTGCAGCATCAAGCAAACAATCCTCTGGCACTCGGGTATCCGAGTCAATCAAGAGAATGTAGTCGCCCACGCGGATGTTACCTTCTGCCCACGCGCGGCCCTGTTCTTGTTCGAGCACCGCAGCCAAGCATTGATAGTAGGCCTTGAGTTCGTCCCCTTGTTGCCAGTTATTCGTGCGCTCAACTCCGAGTAGCCTCTCCTCCACTTTGTTGCTAATCATCAAGGCGTAGTTCATGTTAGAAGCCTTTTTGAATTTCCCCTTTCGGACGAATTCTTTTTGTTGCTGGTTCTCTCCGCCTGCGACCAAGGCTCCATGCCCTGGGCGTGCGACCCATCCGATGTTGTGTTCTTCGTAGAAATCACGACGGGCTTCTGCTTGCTCCGCGGAAATTAATTGCATGCCGTCATCGTTCACAAAGATATTGGCGGTTCCTCCCTGCAGCTCGTACGTCGAAATAGCAGCCTTCAGCGAAATGATAGTTGGCTGAATGACAGGACCAAGACCTTCTTTGTAGACGGGCATTTGGATGGTGATATGAGGGAGTACCTCGCCACGGTCGCGATCAAGGCGGCAGGGAGCGATTCCGGAATAGAACTTCGAGTTGATATTCATCTGACTGATGGGTCCGAAAATCTGGAAAAGATTGACGATAACAATCTGCATGAAGAAGAGCGAGACGAAGATTTGAGCCGGGGTAACGACAAGCAATGCCAGCCGCGTATAGCTGCCATCGATACTGACTTCTTGTGCAAGGGCTCTGAAACCCATTCCGAGAGCAGCAATGAGCAAAGTCAAGGTCGCACCCACGATGACGGGGTTGATCAGTTTGGTCGGGCGTATTTCCAGCACTTGCGCATTCTCCAAATCTCCAGGCGTGACAGTTGAGGCCGATTCCGACAGTTGTGTCACGGACGTATTCGCGCTCTTTTTCTCCCCTAGGTAGCCCCTTGAACTGTCGTTCTCCCAAATTACCTTCATCAGCGATTCTTCAATCTGCCGTATGCGTATGAATATGTTTCTTGGCTGATCGTCCCAAACGACCATCATTCTCTCCTGCAGAATGAAAGCAGCAAAGTGGTGTTTCTGGCAGCCATGAAGATCGTTCAAGGTTGGAATGACCTGCAATCGGAGTCCGTCTGCGAGGGGAATGTAATCGAGGTGTTGGCAATTCAAAACACTGTCGATAAAGCGCGTTCTGACGGTTATGGCAGCCTTAGGAAATGTTAGCAGTGATGGGAGCAGAACTGGCTGTAAGACTAACCTTGACATTTAACTTGGCCACCTGCTCAAATAATGCACTTTCCTTCACTTCCAGCGGGGAGCAGACAAACACATCTTTTGTCTGCTTGAGAATGGCACCTTCGAACGGAAGTTGCGTATATAATCGCTTCTCGCACTGCTGTTGGTGTAGCCAGCTGACCATGACATCGGACTTGAGTTGGAGGACGGAGTGTCGAGATTCATTGCGGAAGTCTCCTTCGGGATATATGGAGGGAGGTCGAGATAGTCGAGGTGGTTGGAATATAGGTGAGCTCTGGAGGGGAGGGACAATCATCTCCATAGCTGGGGGAAGAGCACCGTTTGCAACTCTGGCGGAAGTCTCTTCTGCCGACTTCTTCGAGGGCTTGAGGTATCCCTTGAGGAAGCTCATCTTCAAGCCAGTCCAGGAAGATGAAAAATGACTGTCTGTGTATGGGCTATTCCCAAACGGATAATACCCACTGGCAAAGACAGAACGAGAGATGTCTCTACTGAGGTGAGTTGGCTGGGACGAGTAATGAAATCAAAACTGGGGGATGATGGAAAATGAAGGGTGGAGGAAGGTGGAGGAGGGTGGAGGATGGTACCAGCAACATTCACAAAAACCCAAATATATAAAAAATTGCAGCTCGATCGATCCCAACAAGGCCGGATACCAATGGATCTACGAAGTAGAGCAGGACTTTTTTCTTGGGAAAGACCGAGGGGCCCACTTCAACAACGGTACAAACAAAGCTCGGCGATCTTTTCGCTTTCAATAACCACTCGACAGACCTGCACGCATGGGCGAGGGCCGATCACCAGCAAGAGGTTTGGGAAAATTGGCTTCCTGCAGACTTGTGGACCTGGTCAAGCTGAGGGATCAGAGTAGCACCGCATGGGCAATAGATTGCCGTGGACCGCATGTGGTAGAGGGGCGCTGGCAATGCATCTCGAGGGAAGTATTGGAGCTGGAAGTGGAAGTGGAAGTGGAAGTGGAAGTAGAATCGAGTTGAAATGCGGTGGACGGAAGATAGTAGACTGTGGACTACGGCCTACTAAATTATATAGACGGGCTTCCTATTCCTGTTCGAGATTCGCTGGCGGATTTCTGATTTATCCTAGTTGGTAGTCGCGCTAGTAGAAAAAGTCACGAGTCCCGTTGACGACAAGATTACGGAACAAACGATAGATACCCGCAAAGCAAGCTGTTACAATGTTCAACAGGAGTTCTAGAAGCAAAAAGTCGCGAGCGGGTAGGTGCATTGTATGTACACCCGACACGTGTAAGGACTCACGAAGGTCGGCATTTGCAAGGGCAGTGATCGACTTCCCTCTCCATTAGGCTTCTTTGGCCATTCAGCCCCTTCTCCTCTGTGGCCAGGTAGGTAGGTGGGTAGATTGGGTAGATTGGGTAGATAGTCAGATAGTTAGATAGTTAGATAGGCTAGATGGGTTAGATACACAGGTTATATCTAGCACAGCATGCCTGAGGTTAGCAGCAGGTTCGCAGGCAGGTTCGTCCCCCTCGCCCCACTAGTAAACAAACCGTTTCCATCTTTGGGGCGAAGCCGTTTGGACTGGTGTGAGGCTGATTTGGCGGGAGACGAAAATTTTGGCGCTGGTGTCTTGCCGACGATTGAGCCTTTTCTCTGGTCGGGGCACTGGCCTGTGTAGAAGCGGCGGTTGCGGAAAACAGCCGTCATGATTGAGTGGCGAGTGACAATTCTTTTGGAGGAAGTATTGAGCCACCACCGTTGCACGACATCAGAAATTTCCAGTACCACGTCTTCGAAATCCCAGCGTTGACCGACCTATCGCATTCCTGGCCTTACGCAGCTCCGTCAGTCCACTAGCAGCCACGCGATGATATGATATCCCGAGAGCTTGGTAGGATTTCCCGCTGCTATCAACGAGCCCGGATCGTTCGGCAACGGGGATATTCGAGGGCTAGACATGAGATTCTGAGCAGTGCAGGATACTGTCGTGGTCGTGGTGTATTATTGACAAACGACGCGACGACGAAAACACCGGCTCGGCGGGAGAAAAGCTTCCGCGCTCGGTTAAACTTCTTCCCGTCCTCAGCAATATCTTGAGTTGGGAGCACGTCTACATGTCTACATGTCTACAATAACCGCCCAGGGGCAGTGGGCGGCATGCAGTTACATGTCATGATCGATAGGACCTTCTGAACTGGCTCTCCTATGATAAATTAAAGATTAGATTGATTGGATTGCCCGGATACGATGTCCGGGAAGGCGCTGGGGGCGTGCCAGTAGTGCCAAAATATATCGGGTACCTGCTGCGTTACGAAAATGTCAATTTTTAGTCGCATGAAAGGACAATTGACGTTGGAATTAGGAACTGTACTTACCTATTTGGCTTTCCAATCAGGGTAAGCTGGACAGTCAGTGTTTGCATACAGTTCCAGGGGTTGCTTAGACGCTGCTTCTTTTTGGTGGGGGTGGCTTTGCAGTATAGTGTGGTGTAGTGGACTCGGCCATGCATTCGTAACCCGGGAGGTTCCGGAGACTCGCCCGTACGAGGACCAGAGTACAGCGAGTGAGGTCTGATCACGGTTTCCAGGTGAGCGAGCTGCTAGTATGGCTGAGACGACATACATATATTTACTGTAGGATTTTCGTCTCCGTCAGTGTTTTCTTCGATTTAGGATCACAGTATCTGAAACTGGCATCTTCAAAGTCCAAGCTGAAGAATCCTTCTCGTATGCATAGACTTTGAACAGCTCCCCGCCCGTAATTGCGGTCACGCTGTCGTCCAAAATCTTGAAAATCCTAGGATCTTGAAGACCTGCAAGTCCCATGCCCTCGGTGCCGCTGCCGACGCTCTATGCTGGCAAGGTAGTAGTATCCTTGAAGACGGTCAGGTTTAAATGCAGTATAGCGCTGTCGACTTGCCCGTCGCAGGCATGGGCTTTCCGGTGTTGGACCTGTGTCCATGAGACATGAACATACCGAGGAGTGTATGTTGATGGACAGCCGGTGCTCATGGCTTTATCGCCAAGTCTGTCATAGTATTTGACGATTTGCAGACAGCTCCAAGGTAGCTTCTTCATAGAACTCGCTGGTGTTGGTACAAAATTTGGCATGGACATAACCTGTAGCTTGCATTAATATCCTTCTGCTGCGGCACTCATTTACTTACTAGTAGTATTCTCAAGTTAGAAGGAGATGCATCGGCTGTCGCTCAGTACCGCAATTTTGAGCTTCTGTAAAGCTTCATATTAGGCTGTTCTGCAGTTTATTGGCAGTGCACGATTTGGGCTGCATTGCAAGTGCCCGGTCTGGATAGCTGTATTCGACTTCATCCGCGACAAAAAGTCTTCAGCTCCCTATAACGCATTGAATAGGTGGATATTGAGATGTCAGTAAATAAGGCATGGGACGTGAAAGGATGTAATAGATCTGCAAGCACCTGAGATTCAGAAGCAAGTCGAAGAGGCACGTTTTCGAAGACACATGCACTAGTGCTGTGAGAAAAAACAAGGCCTTCCCTCTTCTTCTCAACAGCAACGCTTTCTTCCGCAGCACTACAGTCCTTCGGATTATGCAACTGGCTTTCCATTTCCTTATCACAACATTGCACTTCTGAAAGCAAGTCCAAGGAATGCATATATCTGCTCTTACGATGGCGTGCATGCTACCTGGATATCGAAGTATCGGCTCCGTGGGGTCTTCTGTTTGAAGAGCCCACGACAACCACACCTCGTGGATCCCCAGCTGCTGGAACAGATCAACACTGTCAACTACCTGTAGAGCATCCAAAGGAACTCTATAGGCCCGGCAAGCATAGATTGCCGCAAGCCATTGGGATCCCTGGCCTGTGGTCAGGCTAGCAACCATCATGGACCCTGATTATCCAGCCGCAGATAGCGGTTTCCAACTTCTTGGATAATTTCACACCAAAGCTCGCATGGCTCTTCCAGAAGCAGGTAGAGCCAGCTGTAGCGCTTCTATATTTGGTTGAGTCTCTGTGCGGGCTCTCTACCACGCAATAATCTTCAAAGGCTCACGACTGCGACTGCGACTGCGACTGCAGCTTATTGTCTTCCTTTCTTCCGTGGAGTGGAAAACTGCAGCAATAAGGTATGACAATCGGAAATTATGGTTGTCTTCGCTGACCTGGTTGTGCTGCAGTCTAATCCATTTCCTCAAAGCCCACAACGATGGCTAGCGAAAATGAAACCCACCCAACAACCCTGAAACTATACATAACACAGACCAAAGAGAATATAAGCAGAGCTCAGGCACCATACGTGGGTGGCGAACCAGGAGGGTGGCCTGGCCCATTGCCCCCTAACTACACGTTGCGAAGGCCAGTCTTCGCAAGGAACAAAGGGCACACCACGACAAGCCGTGAAGAAATTATGCAGAGTAGAATACTGACGCAGATAGTTCGGGTACACCAGAAGCCAAATTTACAGGTACGCACTTTCTCCCACCAGTCTTCGCTGGTATTTGCAAATGGAGGTTGCGAGTGCTGTAAAATCAGAGAGAAAAGCAGTACAAAGAAACAGCAACAAGGCACGAAAGAACAAAGCTGACATTCAGAGAAGATTGAGGGTTAGGACCCGGGCTTTAGACCGGAGCCTCGTATCACTTTGCTGCAGAACCGAGGTCGTGGTCCCCGAACGGACTTCCTCCAAGGACAAACAAAAGCTCTTGAACCGGGCTATTAATAACAGACAGCCACATGGTTTCCATCTTCGGGTGCTTCTGTTGCACCCGTTTTCCAGATCAAAACTCCTTGGTATATCATCCATCTCGAGTTCAAGTAGATGTCTTTGCTTTTCGAGTCTACCACTGCCAAATGAGGCCGCATTCTTTCGGGACAATTTTGATTGTCGTCGTCCATTGACTGGCACGCCGGAAGACCTCACCAGTATTTATACTGGAATTGCGGGTGGACCTTTTGTAAGCTGCATGGTGTGGCGTTTTTGTGGCTGGCTGAACGTCCTTCTTCAATTAACCTTCTTCAAGGAAGAATTGAGGTATGCCGTTGAATGCCATGCTTGAGTATATTCTTTTCTGGGTCTTTCCCACTTGCTTTGTGTTCATGGCTTCTGGCACAGTTCGCTGCCTGTCGTCTGATGACAGAATTTGCAGTGATTGTGGCCGAATGGCCGATTTATTCAAATTTTCAAACGGCAGCATCTGAGACGGTCTATGGCCTTTCGTACTTTCGAAGCCCCCATGATTTTGCGAATAGCTTTTCTCGATCCAATTCAAGCCCCAGGTGGATTACGTTTTGCGATTCGCCTCTTCTCATCAAGAGAAGATGGGCTGAACAAGTTATGTGTTTCGTGTTCCACTCCCTAAGAGATCTGCTGAACAAGATGTGCGTTTCATGTTCCACAAGGAGCAAGTACTCCTACGCTCCCAAAACCCACGCAGTTGGAAATTATGTATCGCGGCGCAAGACAGTATGCAGGTGACCAATTCGAGTTGATAAAGGGGTCCAGCTCATGGGCTGAAGAGTTTCATGTCTTGCTGTTTGTTTGCTCCCGGTCGTCCGCCGACTGGGTCCTTAGGACCACTTCTTCCTCCCTCTCCTTGTCTTGCTTCAGGTAGTTCGATGTCGAATTTTGAATGGAAGTAGGGCGGACGTCGCAGTGAAGGCTTCCCAGAATCCCGCAATCTCATGTGAGGAAGGACTCTAACAATTTCCTATTGATTGTTCCGTTAGATCATACAGTCCTGAGGGATCTTACAGAGAGAGGAATGATGACTCGGGACCTTCGGGCTGTCTTACTTTTTCACCAAGTCCGTGACCCCCAACCTCCAAGCCGGAGGCTTTATGCATAAGACTGACGGCATAACATCCCAACTCCCGCTCCCACGGCCAAGTTTGCCTGTCATTGGCCGTTTATCACCATGCCCCTGAAGCCTCAGGGCCCTGCCCTGCTGGTTGGATGGTTGGATGTTACCGAGGTGGTGGTAATTGTGTTGTAGTGTCTACTTATGTGATGCATCGGTCATAGTGACGCTAGAGTTGAGGTTGGCAAAATTTGTTCCAAAGGATCTGTTGAAAGCTATTCACCGTTCTGCAGGGTCAAGAAAGACCCAGAGGGCATTATTCCCTTACCGTTGCCGGCTATTCTGTATACAAATAGTCATAGTCCCTCGTCTACCCCACTACGCTCGCCTTAGCGTGCCGATAGCCTCACACAATCAGAGTTCTTGGGAAATTTATCTTCTCTTCCACCACTTTCTTTCCACCAAGCACCTCCATCTCCATTTTCACATCACTTTCTAACAACCCCAAAGAGAAAGCTTCTCCCATCCTTGTCGAGGAGAGTTCACCTCCCTTCGCGTTCTCCGCCTTTTCTTTTGACTGTCACAATCTGCGTCTTCCGGCAGCTGTGCTGTGTTCTTTTGTTACTGTCGTTATCAGATCGGTTTCTCCGTGCCGTGTCTACTACCACTGAACAAACCCCTTCCCCTTCGCCTTCGCCCTGGTCCTTGCTTGACGCACGGTATCTTCTCCCGAAAACCCGAAAGCAAAGATGTTTTCAAATGTCATGGCCAAGAGAGAGCATATCGAGCCAAAGGCTGTCAGTTTCTCCGCGGCTGACAAGCTCTACTATGCTCATGATGCCCATCACCAACGTGTTCGCAGCGACTCCTTCGTAGGTAGCCCTCCTGATCTCAATTAGCAGTACTAACATTCTTCAGAATGAGACTTCTACAACGGTTCACCGTGTGCTAGTTCGCAAATGTAGTCACGGTAAGTTTGATGTTCAATCTCCTTAGATGATCACACGATTCCTAACAATTGACAGAGGAGATTACCACCGGCATTCCAAAACGCTTTATCATCAAAGTGGACGAGACGATTGAGCAGCTGCAAGGGCAAGAGGCTAGTGAAGGCCGATGCCAAATCACAATCGAAGACAATGGACCAAAAGTAATTTACCTTGGAACGGCGGGCTCAGGTGGCCTCAAAAAGGTTCCGGTCTGTGGCACTTATGCACTGTCTAATCTCCTCCAAGAACTGTACCTTGCTAAGGAGCACGGTCATAAGACGATCTCGCTCGATAAGGATCGAATCATGGAGGAACCTGTCAATCGACTTTCTCGGCGGATCATTCACGAATTCTGGGACAATCTAACGAGAGTAATCGATGGCTCCGTCATTGAAAAAGCCGGCAAGGATCCTAAGGATTGGACTGACGACCCACGCCCTCGTATTTACGTTCCGCATGGAGCTCCGGAGCAATTTGAGTATTACTGCCAGGTAGCAAATGATCGCCCTGAAATCCGACTAGATGTTTGCTTGCTGCCCGAGAAGATAACCCCAGAGTACATTCGAGATCTCAACGACAAGCCAGGCCTCCTCGCAGTAGCTATGGAGGAGAACTTGGACGAAAAGACGGGCAACGTCAAATTAAAAGGGGTACCATTCGTGGTACCCGGTGGACGATTCAACGAACTCTACGGCTGGGATTCCTACATGGAGTCGATTGGCCTGATTGCGAGCGGAAAGACCCACCTGGCCAAGGCGATGGTCACGAACTTCGTCTTTTGTATTAAACACTATGGTAAGATCCTCAATGCCACTCGCTCTTACTACCTCGGTCGATCTCAACCTCCTTTCCTAACGGACATGGCGGGTATGGTATACGAGATGATCAAACACGAGGAGACTGCGCTAGAGTTCTACAGAACAGCTATCTTAGCAGCTATCAAGGAATATGAGACCGTCTGGATATCCGCTCCCCGCTTCGACAAGAGAACCTCTTTGTCAAGATACCGCCCCGAGGGTCTGGGTGTCCCACCAGAGACCGAGGCATCTCACTTTACTCATGTCCTTGAACCATACGCGAAGAAGCGGGGTCTTTCAACCAAGGATTTTGTGAAGGAGTATAATTCCGGTTCAATCAAGGAGCCAGAGCTGGATCGTTACTTTCTTCATGACCGTGCCCTTCGCGAGTCCGGCCATGACACATCGTACCGATTGGAGAAGGTGTGTGCCAACCTCGCAACTATCGATCTTAATTGTCTTCTATACAAGTACGAGAAGGATATTGCGCAGGCGATTCGCAATCAATTCGACGATGCTCTTCCAGTCCCTGCGGAGTTTTGTGGTGGGGAGATGAAGCCCGGATGCATTATGACGTCCTCTATCTGGGAGAGACGCTCAAGAGTGCGCAAGCTGGCTATTGATAAATACTTGTGGAACGAGGAGAGGGGAATGTTCTTCGACTATGACACTGTAAAGAGAAAGCAGTGTACTTACGAGAGTGCCACAACCCTTTGGGCATTATGGTCGGGAGTCGCGTCCCCGTACCAAGCTAGTCGTCTTGTACAAGATGCTATTCCGCTTTTCGAGGAGGCCGGTGGCCTGGCATCTGGGACCGAGAGATCTCGCGGCGTTATCAGTATCGATAGGCCAAACAGACAATGGGATTACCCCTACGGATGGGCACCGCAGCAGATGCTTGCGTGGGGAGGACTAAAAAGATATGGGTACGAGGCTGTTGCGCAACGTCTCGCTTACAAGTGGCTCTACATGATGACCACAGCTTTCGTCAATTACAACGGCGTAGTTGTTGAGAAATACGATGTCACAAGGAAGGATGCTCCCCACAAGGTGGACGCTGAATACGGCAACCAAGGTCTTGATTTCAAGGGTGTGGCCAAGGAGGGGTAAGTTGTTCTCATGTGTTTGACTCCCGAACTCCTTCTGTTTACCACCTCACCATAAACAGAACTAACCTAATGTAGTTTCGGATGGGTGAATGCTTCGTATATTTACGGACTACAAGTCGTTTCCGCTCACCAGCGTCGTGCCATTAGCACCTTGGTGGACTGGGAGATGTACGACAACGCCATCAAGAGAGGCATTGAATTCAAGGTATCCGAGGACTCGGCAGACGATGACGAGGAAAACTACGATTCTTCCGAAGACAGTCCCGAAGGTATCGAGTAGAGCTCTCGTGCCAGTCCTCTTTGCACATTCCGAAATGTATTCCTCGAGAATACGGACAGGCAAGAAAACGATGTTACGTTTGAGAGGACTGTTTATGATTTCATGATTTTCCTTCTTACATGGATTACATCGCTGGCGGATAGGTACACTGGAGTTACTGCACAATACCCCATGGACCGCCTTCCACTGCGGTTGTCTGCCTGACCTTTTGATGTTCATGCTGTTCCTGCCATGGAGGCACGGGCAGGTGGGTGGTTACAGACGGGGCGTTACCAGAGAGGGGTTGCTTTGCTTTGCCTTGCTTTGCCTTGCTTTGCCATACTCGTGGCTGTACAATAGTTTCCCCTCGGTCTGCAGGAAGGACATACCATACATACATGGTGGATCGTCGGCTGTAGATAGCTTAATTTCTAATCACCCGATCGATATATCTCTCTGGGTGCTCTGTTTGCGTGAAATGGCTTGAGTGATTCCTACGGGGGTAGAGTCCAACTGCACTGGTCAGTGGTCACTGTGGCCAACGGTGAGACGGAACTGTGTGGGAGCTGGGAGTCTGGGACGGACCTCCTTCTGGCCCGCTGCGATCCTGGGGGAGGCCTTGGCGCAAGTTCTTATTTCAAGTCACAAACTCTGTCTTGACAGTGCTGTCCTGTCATTCTGCGACCGCTATCCCCTTCCCCTTTCTCTCGAGGCGTTGGGCTGATAGTGACCGGGCTCCATCTACGCCATTCCGTATGGCACTGTACAACTACCTCCAACTTGCTGATAATTAGAGTAAGGACACTAACCCCAGGGTGTCGTCGTCGCAAGATTACTTCGATCTCCAGAGAGTCGACCTTCATTCAACCTTCAGTTATATCCAGAACCTTGTCTTCTGCCATTGCTCCCACTCCCACTCCAGCCTCCAAGCCTGCCTCTATTCCCACTCACACCAGCTGCAGGTCTGGCTGACTTGGGACGAGGGCTCAGCACGGCACGGCACGGCACACTCGCTGTATACTCTCATCCGATCGCGAGATTGTTGCACAGGAGTACTGAAGACTGGATTACGTACGTACGGACATACGGACGGACGGGAGCCGCACTGCTGAGAGATGGAGAAGAGGCTTCTAACCTTCGATCCGGACGGGGATGTGCTGCTCCGCTTCCAAGCGCCCGCCGAATACCATTTCGAATCACCTGACACCAACGAGGTGGAACCACCCGTGACCCCAGATCACGGGCACCCCTTTCATCCCCTCCTCTCGCCCTCCTGTCTCTCGGAGAGCAGTACGGCAATCGACGACGAGTTTTCCGACTTCAGCTCTTTCGGGCCATGTGTGTCCGCGCAGACGAGAGAGATCACCATGCGCGTTTCGTCCAAGCACCTGGGTCTTGCGTCGCCGGTTTTCAAGAGTATGTTTTCCGAGGGCATGTTTGAGGGCGAGAAGTTGATGGTTGGGGAGGAGACGGTTGTGGCGATGGATGGCGATGCGCAGGTGTGGGAGGTGCTGATGAATGTTGTGCATGGGAGGATAAGGATGGTCCCGGTGCAGGTTAGACGCGGCTTCTGTTGTCCTCTCCTCTCTCAACTCGGGATCTTCCTCTTCTTCTTTTTTCCTTGACCCTTCCTGGCGAAGAACGGTATTGATTCGAGGAGCAGGTGACACTGGAGATGCTGGACGGTCTGGCTATCTTGGTGGACAAGTACCAGATGCTTGAGGTGGTGGAGATGTTCGTCAAGAGCGTATGTTTCAAACCCAGTCTTTCGCAAAACCGGCGTTGACGTTCGTACAGTGGATGCCTCAACTCAAGACGTCGATACCCAGGAGTCTCACTCCAGAGTTGCTGTCCTGGCTTCGCATAGCTTGGGTGTTCCGCTTACCGCGAGAGTTCAAGCACGGGACGAGGATCGCTCAACTGGAAGCCAACGGGCGACTTGGCTACGAAGGAGACGAAAGGCCTCTCCCACTCCCGGATCACATCTTAGGTGAGCGAATCCATTAGATGGTGGCGGGTTTTGCAGTACTAAAGACACCGACAGACGAGATTGAAAGGCACCGCCAAAAAGGCATCTCAGAGCTCCTCGGCTGCATCAAGAAAGTGGCCTCGACGTACGACGGCTCCAAGGTCAACTGCCGAAAGAACTACAGCGAGCACACCGACCTCAAACGGTACGCATGCGACGGCCTGATCCTGGGCACGTTACTCAAGAGCGCCTCCTCTGCTGGTCTCCTGCCCATCCCCGAAGCACCCTATGTTGGGATGTCCGTGAGACAGACTGCCGACAAGGTGAGGGGGCTGAAGATTATGGGGATGTGCGATGAGATTCTGACCATGTACTCGATGACGGCGCCGCTGGACGCTCACGGCTGCGTCGACTGGATCCGGGACCGGTGCGCGAAGGTGGAGCAGGCCCAGCAGGGCCTGAATTTCGAGCTGCTGGCCATCCAGTCTGCGATTTCGAACATGCAGAAGAGCCTGTCGAGGCAGGAATGAATGAGAGGGAGGGAGACCCCTTTGCGCGTGGGTATTTTTTTTTTTTTTTTTTTTTTTTTTTTTTTTTTTATCGTAGTTGGGTTGGGTCGGTTCGTTGATCTATCTCTC